CCCGCGGGGTGGGGGCCTCCCCAGCCCCCCCGGGGTGCCGCTGGCAAGGCATTGGGTGCAGCCAGGAGCACCCTGGGTTGCTGCTCGGTCAGAAACCAGAGCAGAGCCCCGCAGCTCGCATCTCCCGTGCAAGCGCTGCCTGATGCGGCACAGCCCGAGTGCCGAAGTCCGAAAGCAAATCCCTCCCACAGACCCTGCAAAGCCGGGCCCGGGGAGCTCCCTGCGCTCAGCCTCCGCCCCCAGCAAGGGTCCCGGGGCTGCCCCAGCCCAGAGCGACCCAGCTGAGAGGAACAGCACTCCCAGTCTGCTATCTCCTACCCCAAAACACCCTGGTTTGGCCCGCTGGCTCCCCGGGCTGGGGAAATAGCTGCCTCTGCCCGCCAGAGCACGCAGGGCACCCCGGCTCCTCCCCACCGCGTCTCCCGGGGCGGCCGCAAGCGCTCAGCTTGGGGCAGGGGAATAGAACTCCGCTGCAAATGAAAACTAATTTCAGCAATTTGAGCCACTGCTGCTCTTCCCACTGAGAAATCTTGCTTAGCCGGCAGATTGGTGAGTTAAATAAAGATGCCAGGGCGCAAGCTCTCTGCATGAGAGCCCCCTTGCTGGCTGAGCACCTGTGCAAGCTGACCTCAGCGAGGAGGCTGCTCTCCACAATTTGGAGAGCAGTGACGGTTGGAGACAGCGTTTGGAATCTGACACCCGAGCTGCGTGTGGGCATGGCGCAAGGCGAGGGGCTGGCCTGGAAGAACAGACCCACTGCAGCCAGATACGGCACCAGTGTGGCAGAGGCGGACCAGCCACAGAGACCAAACGAGTGGCCCAGGGGCTCAGAGAGGAACCAAAAGAGCAGCCTGGACTTGCACCTGCCAATCCCTCACCAAATCTTTGCACACACAATCCCCCCCAAGGATAAAAGAGCAGGATGAGGCAAGTGGCTAACAATGCACAGCTGTTGGTGGGGAGGAGTGCTGGCACTGCTGGCTGACACCTGAGGGACTGCGAGGTGAGCAGGGCTGTGCCGTGAACGATGATGGCAGGCTGCGGCCTGAGGGTGAGGGCAGGTGCCTGACTCTCGCTGCACTTTTGCAGGCTTTATCGTGGGCATGCAGCCCCAGGGGCACACTGCCCTCCCTGCAGCCACCTGCCAGCATGGGGAGAGATGGGGTGAG